TATAGCAGAAAAGAATAGTAGAGAAGAGAAACGGGTTACAGAAAAGAAAAGTAATTGACGTAAAAACACATACACTGGATTCTAGACACAGAAGTGTATGTGATTAGCATGTGTAATCTCAGAACGATATGCATCTCTTGATTATTGTAGCGTGTTAGACGTTTCCGCTTCCAGTGGTAGTAATAATAGTAGTAGTAGTAGTAGTAATCTTCGTGGTAGCAATAATAGTAGCAGTATTAGTCTTAGACATCGGATGAGTAATTCACTTTTTCGTACTTGTATCAACAAAATATGTTAGCGGGCGTTTGGTTCCAGTTCTCTGACGTCACTCCCAATCTCTGACCTCTCCCTCCAGCTCGACTGCACTCGACGGCAGACCAGCCAACCACTCTTTGATTAGTGTGCGCGTTTATATAGATAAGCCTGGTTCAACCCAAAACCATGTGAGTTTCAAAGTTCTCATAGCCTGAGTAAGCTCTATTTCAATTTTAACCGACAAAAGTCATTTCAATCATTTTTCATTGTCTTTTCTAATGACCCAATTCCAAATGGGCAAGATCAGGTTCCCCTCAGTAAACAAAATTGTTCTGATCTAATTTCGCTGTTCAAATCTACTCCAATTTCAATAAAAAAAAAAAAAAATATGTGTGTGGGTGGGTGTTTGTATGTTTCCCAAACTCTCTCTGTCACAATAACAGGAAGAGGTAGGTACTTACTGAAGCGGTACAAAAAACCGACTATTGCAAAAGTAAGACAGTGCAGCACATGTCCATATATGGCAGTAGTGCACCATTTTTGCCCTGATCTAGCCCTTGGAAAGACGTGGAGACGGATCCACAGAACAGAGATTCGTGAAAAGAAGCTGCTCGAGTAGAACTTACATCTCACAAATGAAAGACGAAGGGAATGGGGGTAGTTCACTATAATGTGCGTAACATGGCGGGGTCTTTGCTGTGAACGTTTGAACTGGTGGAACACTTTCCTTCGAAATAGCAATAGAGTAATAAGAGACCTGTGACGTTTCGTCTGTGAGGAAAGGGGTTGTAGGGTGGAAAATAATTCTCACCCCCAAGTACGCGGAGACGCTTTTGGACTTTATCGAGACAGGAAAGTGAAGACTGGGCAGCTGATGTCCATATGTGTCAGCAGTACTCTATTTTCAGCCTGATCTGGTTGACTACATATTACCCCCCCACACCCACTTACAATAGTCTCCAACGTATTTATGAGTATTGGGACATATCGATTAGTGTTCATAGGTACGGTACATAACAGTAATCAAGGAAGCAAGGAAACGGAAGAGAGTTCCACATGTTCGAAGTACGAGAAAAGAAACTTTTTGAGTAGAAGTGACGGTTGCATTTAGTTCGCTGCTCGAGTGGAACTTACTTCTCACCAACGGAATACGAAGGGAATGAGGGTGATTCACTACAATGTGCGTGGCAGGTCTTGGCCATGAAGGTTAGTACTTGTGGAACTGTCAGAGCAGTGGTCAGAGGATGCAAAGAGGGAAATTCGGGCATTTTTGGCTACGGCGTTTGTTAGAGAGTGAGTTATTTTCCTGACTGGCTACATGCATTGTGATTTGAGATAGTACCGGCGAATCGAGTTTTCAGCATTTCTTTCTACCCCCAACCCCGATATTCGAGTCTGTACTTACAGTGATTTTTCTTTGTGTTGTGGAAGTAATCTGCGACAAATACTTCCTTTGCTTTCAGAACGCTTACACTTACAGAAACTAAGTAATGTAGTTCGTCCGGCTACTTTAAATGGAAGTAGCAATAGGGCAGTGAGATGCTTGCTATATTTCGTCTCTGAGAGAAGGGCTTCAGGGTATAAAATAATTTGTCACCCACAAGGACGCGGAGACCCTTTTGGACTCTTGAAACTGGAAAGTGAGGGCGGAGAATCTCCTGTTCAAATATGACAGGAGTACTCCATTTTAGGCCTGATCTGATTCTTCTAAAGGAAGGAGGAGTCAGCTACTTGCTGACTCGGTACAGGTAACGACCCCTTTTCTCGGCGTCATATGCAATGGATTATATGTACCACTTCCACTTGTGGTCTAGGTTGAGCTAAGCCCCAAATAGGTGCTTCCGTGAGGGAACGTCCGTTCATCGTGATTGGTGATAGTTTGGTTATCTTGATTGTCCCTTAGCTAAATGATACTTTTTTCTGAAAATGTCAGTCTTCATTTTTTTCTCATATATATATATATATATATATATATATATATATATATATATATATATATATATATATATATATATATATTCCCTGTTTCTTAAAAAGATTGCGAAAGATTATGGCAAAGGTAAACCAGAAATAGATAAGTTGCCTGACATCTTCGAATAATAGCTCCTCGTTTCTCCTTGATGATTCAGTAAATCATTATTCTTTGGTCGTTTCTGCATCAATGAGAATCGAACTGACATTTCAATAAGAAATGTCTTCGAAACCAGTTTTCAAACCCCAGCAAGGCAACCAAATATGTAATCATAAATACAAAACATATATAAAAGGGCACACATGCAAACACACACACACACACACACACACACACACACACACACACACACACACACACACACACACACACACACATGTATATACTGTGGTTGAAATTAGGTTGACGATAATGTACGGAAACGGTCGATGGTTGCAGTTAGCACAAAGTCGTAAGTCATTGTGACCGAGGGATTAGGTGTACTGGGTTTGTTCAAACAGTTGATCACGTCAGATTAACCAGTCTGCCCTTGAAACTATAGCCAAGGCCTGCTCAGCACAGTTGCAATATAAATCTTAGATGGGCTCTGTGAATGAGCCTGATTAGGCGTCTGCAAGAGGGGTTGGCTACTCTAGTAACCTATGATTTTATATACAGACACAAACATACTCACCTATATATAGAGATAGATAGATAGATACAGACAGACAGACAGACAGACAGACATAGACAGTTAAACATTAAGAAGTCAAGAATAAAAACAACGCACTACGAAAGATTTGTGCTGCTTTGAAATGGATATACTTGAATGTTTACTCACTCGAGCTAAGCCCGACAAGCCCGACCCCTGGAGTAGCCACTTATACACACACACACACACACACACACACACACACACACACACACACATATATATATATATATATATATATATATATATATATATAAGAATATCGGATTAAAGCGTTGGTTCATGATATCGTAATTATGCATTCGTTCCCTGGGACGGACAGTGCATATCTGAACTCCCTGGCAACCGACCGAGCAATAACTAAGCAGTACTAAATCCGAACAGTACAATGTATCGTGAGACATTGTTTGCGGAACGAGAACAATTTACTACCGTAAATTAAATAGAGGTTTCAGTTTAAAATTCCCTGAATATTACCCGGACCGACAAGCACCTGATGAAGGCTGGAGGGCACAACGGCCGAAACGCTGTGATGCTAAAAACAAAAATGAGGAAAATAGCAAATCATGCAAATATGGAAACAAAAAGGAAACTTATAGTTAACATCAGGAAGAGGCAAGTGAAATCTCTGGGGCACTGACTGAGAAGAAGGGGCTTGGAAAATCTGATACTCACAGGACAGGTTGAAGGAAAGAGAGACAGAGGAAATCAGCTTGATGTGCTTGAGTAGATGGATATTGTAACAGGGTTTAGGAGAAATAACAAAAAGAGCAAACTTGTTAAGAGCTACGTGGAGGGCCGTGATCACCTACGTCCTGATGGAAGACGGTACATAAAAGAAGATGAATGAATCCGCATCCCATAAAATCTGACTGAAATGAGTCTTCTGTCTGTCACATAACACTGTTTTCTATTTTGATATATTTTTTATTTATTATTAGTTGCTTTTAAGCATCTATATTTGTTGTTCCGAATTTATATTAAATTTTATTATAGTTATCTATGTATAAGGAAAAAACTGCGCATGCGTGAGGTCCGAGATTATACGCGGTTTCACGTTTCCGATAAGAGCCTCGGAACATATCCTCCGTGGAAAAGATGAGGCGACACTATTTTGTCAAAGCTTTAATGATGTTCTGGCTGTATTGTTGTAGAGTTGATCTTTCTATAACTGGATTTTTGACTACTGTATTAACAACAATGAGACTCAAGACGTGGCGTTCAGTGAAAGGTTGATCGCGCTTGTCGTTGTCGACAAGCGTGACCTAACCTTTATTGGCTATATTTAACACCGGGATGTCACCCAGTGTACAATCAATTTGCTCGCTGTCTCTTTTCTCCTTTCCTGGGACCTTTTTTTTCTGTTTTCTTTTTCTTTGTATATTTTATCATCATTTAGAATTTCGACTCTCTCTCTCTCTCTCTCTCTCTCTCTCTCTCTCTCTCTCTCTCTCTCTCTCTCTGCGCCTAGTGACAGGGCCCGCCCCCTTCCTTTACCTCGTGTCAATGTTGGAAACAAACGTACGCTCGAACACTTATTCAAATTCCTATTGAGTAGGCGAGAAGGAAATGCTCGTGTAAAAATTAGGGTCTCCCTTTGTCACAGACACAATGATTTTAACACCGTAAAGTAGCGGGCAGTCTACTCTTAACCATGTAGGTGAGGATGGGTCCTATATAAATGTTGTGTTTTTTGTTGTTGGTGTTGTTTTTGCATTTATATATATAATGTATGACTTTTTAGTATGTGCTGATAGACCAAACATAGCTTATATTATCAGCTGAAACAGACTCAGATAGATAGATAGATAGATAGATAGATAGATAGATAGATAGATAGATAGATAGATAGATAGATAGAAAATGAACAGACTTGGATAATAAACAGACTTAGATAATGAACAGACTCAGATAGATAGATAGATAGATAGATAGATAGATAGATAGATAGATAATGAACAGACCTGGATAGATAATGAATGAGAATGGACAGACCTGGATAGATAGATAGATAGATAGATAGATAGATAGATAGATAGATAGATAGATCAAACATAGCTTATATTATCAGCTGAAACAGACTCAGATAGATAGATAGATAGATAGATAGATAGATAGATAGATAGATAGATAATGAACAGACCTGGATAGATGGATAGATGAATAGATAGATAGATAGATAGATAGATAGATAGATAGATAGATAGATAATGAACAGACCTGGATAGATAGATAGATAGATAGATAGATAGATAGATAGATAGATAGATAGATAGATAATGAACAGACCTGGATAGATAGATAGATAGATAGATAGATAGATAGATAGATAGATAGATAGATAGATAGATAGATAGATAGATAGATAGAAAATGAACAGACTTGGATAATAAACAGACTTAGATAATGAACAGACATAGATAGATAGATAGATAGATAGATAGATAGATAGATAGATAGATAGATAGATGGTTGGATGTTTTGTTTTATGGTATATCAACCTCAGTGGGTCATTTAATGCCAACAAAATTTTTGAAATAGATCCATAGCGATAGTTTGTGTATACATATATTTTAACCATTTTTCAATTACTCATATTTCTGAGTACAATCCAACTTCTTAACACTGTATAACTTTTTCTATTACTGGTATTTTTTTTTTTTTTTTAAGTATTGATGATAATAATTTGTCCTTCAAAAATTATTGCTAGTAATAATTTTTTTTTATTACAAAGTATTTCTGGTATTAGAACCTATTTTTACAGAAGTTTGGGTGTTAACTATTTGCCCATAGCTGGGACCCTAACAGGTGCTACCACCTCTGGTTAGGGTGGACCTGGGAACACCAGCAATTAAGAGGTGATTCCACGCTCCTCAAAACCTCCTGATCAGAGGCCTTGCTGTTGGACGTAGTTTATCGTCTTACCCAGGACGCAGGTGTAGTTTATTGTCATACCCAGGACGGGATAGATAGATAAATAGATAGATAGATAGATGGATAGATAGATAGATAGATAGATATGAACAAACCGAGATAGATAGATAGATAGATAGATAGATAGATAGATAGATAGATAATGAACAGGCCTTATTTTACTTCCGCGTTTAACCTTCTCTAACCGATCAATTCTCTGGTTGTTAAAATGCAGGGTTGAAATATATTTGAAATATATATGGACATTATACGAACCGAAAAGGAGCAGATGACAAAAATACTTTCATTTTCATTGACCAAAGAACATTTTAATGTCCTTAATTTGTTCAGACATATGCACACACACGTGTAGACATCGGGTGGGCGTGGTTCAATCATGTTCCACTATTATCTACATGTATAAAAACTGATTTGCTGTCTCTAGCATTTTTAGATATATAGATTTCCCATCGCCGTAATGTTGCTTCCCTGGGCTTTTTGTTTTTTTATAAATACTTTTGTCGCAATTCTAATGAACTTTCCTATGTGGTAACCAGAGTTTATGAATTTAAGTGCAATACTATATTGGCAACAAGATCCCATCATTTTATAATTGAAATGGCTAGATGCAACCGTAAGTTCTATGCTAATAACTTCTTTTCTCGATTGTAAAACTCACCTTTGGCTTCTTGTTCAACAGTTAAGTTCCATCTTCAAAGACTTAAATGCTATACCAGTGATTATTATCGATTTCCGTTTATTCTTGCGTCGAAAAAAAATGAGTTAAAAAATGAATTAAAAAAATGAGATAGATATGAATAGACTGTGATAGATAGATAGATAGATAGATAGATAGATAGATAGATAGATAGATAGATCTGAACAGATTTAGATAGATAGATAGATCTGAACAGATAGATAGAAACAAATTGGTATACATAGATATGAAGATATAGATAGATATAAACAAACTGATAGATAGATAGATAGATAGATAGATAGATAGATAGATAGATATGAACAAACCGAGATAGATAGATAGATAGATAGATAGATACGAATGATAATAGATAGATAGATAATGAACAGGCCTGATTTTACTTCCGCGTTTAACCTTCTCTAACCGATCAATTCTCTGGTTGTTAAAATGCAGGGTTGAAATATATTTGAAATATATATGGACATTATACGAACCGAAAAGGAGCAGATGACAAAATACTTTCATTTCATTGACCAAAGAACATTTTAATGTCCTTAATTTGTTCAGACATATGCACACACGTGTAGACATCAGGTGGGCGTGGTTCAATCATGTTCCACTATTATCTACATGTATAAAAACTGATTTGCTGTCTCTAGCATTTTTAGATATATAGATTTCCATCGCCATATGTTGCTTCCCTGGGCTTTTTGTTTTTTATAAATACTTTTTTCGCAATTCTAATGAACTTTCTATGTGGTAACCAGAGTTTATGAATTTAAAGGCAATACTATATTGGCAACAAAGATCCCATCATTTTATAATTGAAAAATAAAAACCGTAAAATCTAATAATAACTTTGATTGTAAAAAACCTTTGGCTTCTTGTTCAACAGTTAAGTTCCATCTTCAAAGACTTAAATGCTATTTTTAGTTTAAATGGACGTTTATTTTTTCACGTCGAAAAAAATGAGTTAAAAAATGAATTAAAAAAAAATGAGATAATTTGAATAGACTGTGATAATAGATGCAAAATAGATAATAGATAGATGACAGATAGATAGATAGATAGATATATCTGAACAAATTTAGATAATAGATATCTTGAACAGATAGATAGAAACAAATTGGTCCAATAAAATCGAAGATATAGATAGATATAAACAAACTGATAGATAGATAGATAGATAGATACTAGATAGGATAGTCTCCTTGAACGAACTTGGATATATGCTGGGTATAATGAGATTCATTCAAGTTCATCTTAGGATATTTATTTAGATAAATTTGTGTGACAACGCCTTTCAGGATGAAACAGTCTTGCTACTCTACAACAAAGTGAGATAGATAGATAGATAGATAGATCCACAACTATGATATTTGAATTACCCTGTCATATGATGGCGGTCGGTGATTCTATTTCGAAAATGTTTTTTTTTCTAAAGTTCCTGATTTAATTGATGGCTAAAGGCTTGATCCATTTAGCAAAAATATTTGCAAGAAAAATAAAAATAAAATCGAATGAATTTGGTTAAAAAGAATTTATCAGTAAATCTCTTTTTATTTAAATGGACGTTTATTTTTTCACGTCGAAATCTATATTAATATACAGGGTGCCATAATTTGTTGTGTAAATTATGCAAAAATGCAAATAACACTGACATCTCATTTTAACAGATATATTTACCAAAATTACACAAAAATATCTTGAAATGCTGAGTAAATTAGTCCAATAAAATCGCCATTGGCTTCAACCACAGCCTCCAGACGACTCCTGCCACTCTTCAGGACGGTCTCCTTGTTTAAGTTGGTGAATGCTGCCTATGATCCTTGCATTCTGTTCATCTTAGGTGTTACAAGGAGTTTTGCTTGTTTCTCGCTTAACTCCGCCCCACACACAATAATCAAGGGGATTGCAGTATGGGGAGTTAGATGGTCTGATGTGGTCGCAGAAATTGTCTGACAGCCATGACTGAGGTCTTCTGATTGTGTGGCATGGTACAGAGCCCTTTTGCCAGGCATAGGGTTTTCCAGCAGCCACCCTCTTGACCCAGGCCAGCACTTGATGTAGGCCTCCATGTTGAGTCTGAATCCCTCACCAACAAATTCGGAAGTTCTTTTCTTATCAGAACGATCAGAGTGAATTTTCCGAGTTGCAGTATCTTCGTAATCACCATTAGACTCATCCAGCTCTTTCCGAATCCTCTGCACTGTCCTCCGATTGACGCCCAAACACTCTGAAATGTACATATTGGAGCTTTCGGCGCGAATGCCATAGATAGATATGCCGTTTGATAAATTTCTGGCGGATAGTTAATTGCGTCATGGTGCTCTTTTTCCGTCTACAAAACGTGTCCAACTAGCCTACTAGATAGGACAGATAAATAAAATAAAACCA